GAATTTTTTAAGAAAATATTGCACATTATCGGTTTTCCTTAAAGCCATTAATTATGTCATAGGATCATTAAACTCCATAGCTCCAAATCATATACTCATAGTGTCATTATAATTTGCCTAATTCAAAGAAACATTAGCTCTATGCATTCTAATATACTCTTGGTGTCACTCCAAAGCCTCTCCTTCTAAGTGTATAGCACGTTAAATTTATCTTAGAATTATCGAGAATTCTATCCACATAGAAGAATTTATCACACCTAAAAACTCGGCCTTTAAAATCCTCCCCTGCAGAGTTAGGAAACTTCACTCTAGACATTTCGGTGTTGTTGATATTCAAAATTACCTCTTTCATAATCATTTTCCATAGGATACCCATACTCTAGCCTCCTAAAAGTCTCTCTATCCATGTTTTCAATTCTTTCATCGTTAACACCATTATTATGGTTGTTCTTCATCTCTTCAATCATTGGACTCTTGAGTCCTTTAATAAGTTCTTTTAACTCAACAATATCATTATCATGCTTTTCAAACATAATGTTACAACTATTAGAGAGATCATTGATTACCTTAAACAAATGAGCAATAACTTCTTTCATTTTCTTTAAAACTACACTTCCTTTTGCCATGGTTGCTCAATTCCTCCACATGAGCCAAAATCATTACTCCGTTATTAATTGATGCGGTTCAATTCCATCCAAGAAAGAATCAAGATGAAATTTAATAGATAAAGCAAGAAAAAACAAGTATATATAAGTTTATGAAAACTATCACGAAGAATAACGATGTGAATAAAATTAAAATAAGATTGAATTAATGGAAAACAACTGGCACATGAATGAATTTTTATCAAGAGTTTTCAAGACAAAAACTCTAAGAAATATAAGAGAAAATCATAGAGAATTAGAGAGAAAATCCGGATAAAAGAATGCTCAATAACACTTGAATAATTTCTCTTTCTTTCGACTTCTTTCATTTATTATTTTATCCATTAGAAGCTAACAACCAATGCAATAAACTATCAATAATATGCAACATCATCTATAACAATTATTAATAACTAATACACATGTCCTTATTTTATCCATCCACGTGGCCTACTTGTTGACTCATGCATCCTTTCGCTGACTCATGCACCCTTTGTCCATTTAACCCGTATCGATTTGAATATGCTTTATTAAAATTTTTTTATCAAATATATAATTACTTGACTATGCCTACTTATATATTCAAAAGATAGTTAAGAAAATGAGAGAGACGATGGAGATAGAGAAAGGAAATAATAGTTATTTCTTATTTTAAAAAGAAAAAAAATTGTTAATTTCGTTTTGTAGCACCCCAAACCCGAAAAGGGAGGCTAGAATGCTACGGGCAGTGACAAACATTTACGGAGCACTAAACACAACCGTAGCGCACGTGGCTAGTAGTGGTTGGGCGTGTTGCGGCCATATCACACACTTGTTAAATGCACGTCGATGCCCTATGACTCGGAACCATGCGTGGGACATGCAATGCATAACGGAAGACATTTGGCTTGAAAGCCTATTTAATGGCTCATTTTGTATTTGATATTTTTCCTCGATGCAAAACTTACGTTATGCCTTAGAAATTTTGTTGACGCAAATTGCATCCGGACAGGCATATGTCTATGGTAGCCTAAATCTATCGTAATTCATGACGACCTACTATCCAGGTGACTTCGCATTAAAAACTAAAGGTAAAGTTATGTGAACACATTATGAATACTTTACGTAAGATACCAAACTATTAGAGGCAACGAAAAAGAAAATGACTCATGTTTTGGGTAAAATATTTTGATTTCATTCAAAATAAACTTTGTACATACATGTCTTAACTCGTAAGGCTAATTACATTCAACATTTACAACAAAAGCATGCTATAACATGTAAACATAAACTAGACATACCTTATCGCCTAAATTCCTAGACGAAAGTACATATTTCGACAAACTCCAAAAGCGTCCGGAAGCACCATCTTTGTGGTAGCCTTCCGCAAGCATCATTATGGTCACCTACACCACAAGACGTAAACAATGAGTTAACGCTTAGCAAGTGCAACCATGCATGAATTTATTAAAGCATATTTTCATGAAGAAGTTCATTTTCCTCTTTTAGACATGCCCCGTCAAATATCCGATTCAACTCTCTTTTAAAACCTTGACGAAAATCATGAAACTAGACAACGTTTAGCCAAGGACCGGCACTTGGGTATACACTAGATCATTTTCGTGGGTGGCCTCTCTATTTTCAACCCTCGGGTATACATAGATCATTCTCACGAGGTGACATTTTTGTGTTCATGCACATGACTTCTTTTCTTATTTAAAACATAAGTCATGAAAACCAATATCATACAATACCATGAATGCATGCTATCAATGCTTGAGCAACTAAATATCGTTAATGAATTCAAGCTAACGTAATTGTACTAACGAGTCTCGATGCATTAAGCCTATCCAAGACAAGTTATAATTCATCAAGCCAAGTATGATAGCTACACAATTCAACATTTTGAAAGATCACAAGTCAAACATGACAACCACACAATTTGACATTTCGACAAAATCATAAACCAATCATGGAGACCACATAATTTAACATTTTAATAGAAAAACAAACCAAGCATGACAACTACACAATTCAACATTTCGATAGAATCATAAACCAAGTATGGTAACCACAAAATTCAACATTTTGATAGAAAACCAAACCAAGCATGATAGCCCCATAATTCAATATTTTGGCAGAAATACAAACCAAGCCAAACAAATTCAACGGAATATAATCAACCAGTTTCGATGAGAATACAACTAAGTAATTCAAGCATTCTATTCGGCCACTAAGACACACCAAGTTTAGCCCACATTTGCCTAAGGTTTATGTGGCAATTCTAGGCTTAGTGATCGGTCCTAAGTCCACATACAATAAGTTTTCCATCTAGCACACAAACATAGTAAAGTTCAAGCTCAACATATCAAGAATACTTAAACCTAGGTCTTGTATTGTAGTTGAATGAATTGCACTTACTTAATTTAGAGTTAAAAGATATAAAATGCTTTAAAAGACCTCGATAGACCTTCCTTGCACTTGGTCCAAGCACTTAGCTAAAACTAGCGAGTAACTCCGGCAAGTTACAACAACTTCCCACTCAAGTAATTCTCCATTTTCTCTTGCGGAATTTTCAAATGGCCAACGGAATCAGCCATGGTCTCACTCTCTCTTTATATAGGCCAGCCATGCAATAGAAAAATATCAAAAATTCTAAAGGATGACACTTCTTTGGTCAAGTCATCCATGCAAGGCATGATGGTGACACCTAGCATTCCACTAACTCAAGGAAAGTAGATCCCTCTCAAATATTCAATCCATGCTATCAAGTCTCTTAATTAAACCCAAATCAAACTTAATATATCCTTGTGTGATTTTCATAATAAATTGACTAATATATTAATGTGTGGCTGGACACAAAAGTCGTTAATGAAAAACCGATACCACGATAGTGGCATTTTTCGTTGAAATAAACCGAAATGTCTTGACACAACATTTTTCGTCAATAAAAAATGACTTGTCTAGACTTAGTAATTTTCGATAGCATTTTCACATAGCATACTAGCATGGCATTTGGTGGCAAAACATAAGTTAAAACATAAAACTCGTCAACGAATGCGGTAAGTCCGGATGCGACAATTTCGTCAACGAATAGAACTTATCTCGGTGCGGTAGTTTTGACGAGTAAAGCGACGCATTGAGACATTATTGTTCTTAATAGCGAATCCGACATGTCTTGACGTAATCGATTTTCAACAACAATCATCAAACAAATTAATTAGGCATCAAGCTAAACACACACAAACATATGTATGCTATATGCAAAGGTTTGGGTCGTTACAACAACATATTAAATGATTGCCATAAATTAAGAATGTATTTTAATTTTTTATTCAATGGTAAGTATACGATTGGGTTAGTTTACGGGCTAATCAAATTTTTTTTTTTATATACAATCAACGCATCCTCTATATTAATTTGATACATTCAATAGAATTTAATAATTTTTTTTACATATTAATCCCCTAGATCTAAATTCAAAAAGTCAAAGAAAAGAAATGAACTTCTTTCGTTATCAAATTAATCTTTGGATTTTAATATAATTTTAATTAATTTAAATTTTCTCGAGGCCTTGACCCCAAAATTCAAATAAAAAAAAGAAAAATGACAGAGCAAATCTCTTCAGCTATAAAGTTAACTTCTCGAGTTAATGCAATTTTAATTAGCTTAAAATTTTTATCCTTTTTATTTTTTCAAAATCAATTTCGAACTTCACTAAATATTGGATCAAACTTGATAGTCGGAAAATGTGTCGCATATCTAGCTCGAATTCCATTAACTGATCACGGCGTCTCTATCAAAGATGGTTGGAGGGTTTCAATTGCAAATGGAATCGAAGATAGAGGGATATGATTCATCAAATTAGAAGGAGCAGCACTCAAGTAATCAAATTGACTAATTACAGAGACTGCACGTGTGATTAACCTGATATCGTTGACGTCAAAAGGACTGACAAAATGTAATAGTTGTCAAGCAAAGACTAGTGCGTACGAACGACGCGTCAGTTTAATAATCCAATAATGGGATAAGCAGCCAAATTTTGAAAGTAAAAGAAATTTAGAAGCTATTTTCTGACGGAAAAAGAAAACAAAGTTCAGCTTTTGTCTCTTGTCCAACAAGAACAAAACCTATCAGATCGATCTAAATTCTTAACTAACAAAGAAACACCTTACTTAAACTGTACACACAAATCCCATTAATCTTTATCTGTCTGTCTCCCTCTTTGTTCATGAACATTTGGGTTATACAATCTGATTCTGATACGATCAAGAAGGAGGAAATAAGAAGAAGACTTGATGAATGATGTGGAATGGGAGTAGTGGATTTTGAGGTGAGACGTTGTTGTTGTGGTGGTGGTGAGGGGATTGTAAAGTTATGGCGGAAGCATATAAAGGAATATCAACAGATAACATAAAGGGACTGGTGTTGGCATTGTCTTCAAGTTTCTTTATAGGAGCCAGTTTTATTGTTAAGAAAAAAGGGTTAAAGAAAGCTGGAGCTTCTGGTCTTAGGGCGGGTAAAGTTTTCATTTTTTTTTGTTGTTTGTTTGGTTGGATTTTTTGTTTTTGACCTTGAAATGGATTGTATTTTTTTTTTTTTTTGGGGGTTTCATTGGTTATTGGTTGGGTCTGGTGCTCTTTTGTTTAATTGTGATTTTGTGTTGGAATTGGTGCTATTTTTTTTTTTTTTTTGGGTTGCCCTTTTTGAATTTATTTTTCGTTATGAAATGGGTTGGTCTTTGGTGGTATGTTATGGGTTTGTACAAACGGCGATTTTTGTCTCGAGTAGACATTGTTTTGTGTGCTTCATTGCAAGTATTATAAGCATTGTTATAGGAATTGATTGAATTCAGTTGGCTTGAGGATTTGTTTTGGAGTTCAAACTTCAATGTGGGTTGAAGTTTGTTTATTTTTGTATTTCAAGTTCTAAATAGAATTCTTGATGATGTTTTGATGGAGTCTTGTTTCTGTTTGCTTACGTGTATTGTTAGAATCACTAGACTTGAAATTTTAGTGTGTATGCTCGAGTAAAAACGATGGCTAATCAGTTTATCAGAGTTTATGAGGTCTATTTGAGGAGAGATGAACATTTGGAGGGATTGTTCCAAGCAATTATGATTTGACAACTGCAAAGTTTTGGTTTCAGGATTTTTTCAGATTCTATGTTGGCTTGCCACTCTTGTATGTGTCATGTGTACTAAGTTGGCAACGACATCCTGCTCTGTGCATTTTCTTCTTAAACTTTTTGATTGACTGTTGCTAAAACCAAAGATGATCTCTCATCTTGGTGATGTTTGGGGATTTTGAAATTTTATTTATGGCTTTATGGTATTGGATTAATTGGTTGAAGTCCATTGGACTTTTGGATATTTGATGCTGTACACTTATCATGCCAGGTCAAGAATAGTATATCTGAAGGGGTTCTCAACTGCTTGAATTTGCATTTCACGTCATCATTTCCATGATTGGACGTATACTGATTCGGGTGGTATTTCTTTTTCTCTGATGGGTCTGCTTGCTCATGGTTAAATTTTCAAGTGCATGGGCCATGACACTATATGAAAATATTGTGCAGCATATGTTTTTAGTTAGTTTTTATTCCTTGTTGGCACTGCAAATGTGTTGGATTTAGAGAAATTAACTTGAATTTCCCTTCATTTCTTGATGGGTTTTCAATTTATGGTTGACTTTTGCATCAAATCCATTTGTATTATTCTGGTGCAGCATTGAGTATAAGGGCAGCAATTGAATAGTCATGCTACTAATTTATACTTATTTGCTTTGTACTTGCTTTCTTACTTAGCATTATTGTTTTGGTATTTTGGGAGCTTTCATCTGCATGTGTGTTCCTGCCCCACCCCTCTTCTGCCTCTTCTTTAATGTTTAATTTGTGTGCTCTTCTGCTTGCCTGTACATTCCCATCCAGTCGCTATTATTTGCATTTGATTGCTACTCCCAACTATTTAAGCACTTATTGCTAAAAAAGAAAAAGAAGAAAGAAAGCATATTTCATGTGGTAAGAATTTGTCATGTGATGATGATAAACCTATTAATCAAATATGGAATATATGTTCTCTTTTGCAATGTGCGGTAAGATAGTTGTGGATTTCACAGGACAAAGCTGTTGAATAGCTTCAGAAGTGAAAGACACGTTGTCTTTAACTTTGTTGCTTTATGTATTGAACAGGGTAGCTGGATTCCTACTTGTATGGTGAATGGTGTGCTCAAAAGCATTAGCAACTGTGTTCTTCATTTCTGGAAAAAAAAAAATGGTGGTGGCAATTGAGGGCTAGATAGGAAGGCCAATATTAACTGTGCTTAGGCCCAAGTCTTATAATGGTATAGAAAGATCGGAATTGAAATTTGCAGTAGTTTTCTTGATGTCCTGTATTTGTGTTGAGTTTGGTGGTGGGGTGAAGATATACTTATCTATTAGATATTTGTAGGATACTTGGAGTCCACCCTTTTGTACAAGGCTGAGGTGATATGTGAGAGTATCTGGAAGAATAAAGGGGCTCTCCAAAGCTATTGCTTTCTTTTGACAGATCAAGGACTTCTTCTTTGGATTGCTTAGATAGTTTCAATTTTGTAGACTTCTTAGGTTTTAAAGTAGTACTTTTGAGTGCTCTTTAAAGAATTATCTTGTTGATAGTAAATCATTGGTCTGTTTCTTTTGTGCTATGAACTTCAAAACAGAGTAACACTATACAGACTTACAAATACGTCATATAAACTGATGATTTTCTTCTTCATGTTTGACCAATCATTTAGTGTTTCCAGGACCATATATCACCGCTTATCAATTTCCATGGCAGTTTGTATGAAGTTTTTGTAAGATTTATTTGTTTGCTTGTGTATCATTTTCCTTCCAAATAATGGTTTGGTCTTATATGGCTGAACAAAAGAGTTCCACAATTATGTCTTTAGGCTTGCAGAATATCATTCAGCTTTCAATGCCTTGTCCATGAATGTTTTGTAGTCATTATGGTTCTTTAGGGCTGTGCATTTTATTTAGTGATGCTGTGATTTACAACGTAGAAGAATAATAAATAAATTTAAAATTTTAACTTTTTGACAATTTACCATTTATGAAAGTAATTTGTTCAAATCTCCTATTTCCCTTTCCCTTCTCTATTTTATTTTTGTGATTGCATTAATGGCTTGATTTATGTATGATAATAAAGTTTTATGGTTTTGCCTTATCTGATTGTGCAGACCTGTTTTTACAGGTGCTGGGGGTTATACTTACCTGTATGAACCACTTTGGTGGATTGGCATGATAACAAGTAAGTGTCCTAATTTTCTTATGGATGATAATTTGTAAAAGTGAAAGAAATTACATTCGATATCATTGCCTATACATTGTGCGGTACAAAATAAATAGTCTTTATAATTTTTTTTTAATTATCTAAATAAATAGTCCATATTTTTTCACAACAAAATAAATAAGTCTATATAAATTCAATAAATTATTCTGATTAGATAAAGACTTTCCAAGTGTGCCACAAGTGCTTATTCTTTCACATATCCTTCAAAGAATTGCGTTAAACTTTTATTTCATATATCTTGCACTATTTCTTTTGATGTTTTTCTGATTTGGTGGTTTGGATCTCTTTGTTTTTGATTTATGGTGTTTGCTTTTTTCTCTTTCTATATAAGCTACTCTTGTTCGTTTAACATTATAAGCATGTTGGAAGTTTGAGTGCATATCTCATTGTACGCATTACATTCTAAGATGGATAATTGTCATCATGGCAGTGATTGTTGGGGAAATCGCTAATTTTGCAGCCTATGCATTTGCACCAGCTATTCTAGTCACTCCTCTTGGTGCACTCAGTATCATTATCAGGCAAGAGAAAATTCACTTATGTCTTTTATATATCCGATTGTTTTATAATGCTAACCTCCATTTTGTCTTGCAGTGCTGTTCTTGCACATGTTATGCTGCAGGAAAAGTTGCACATTTTTGGGATTCTTGGTTGTGCTCTTTGTGTTGTGGGTTCAACATCAATTGTTTTGCATGCACCTCAAGAACGTGAGATTGAATCTGTGAAGGAAGTGTGGGACCTTGCAACAGAGCCAGGTACACACACACACACACATCTGTGGAATAAAAAAAAAAATTGTGAAATAACTTATAAATTCTTGATGCTGTATTGGAAAACATACATAATAGAACAATACATAATATAATCATGTTCTTATATATATATATATATGTGTGCCTCATAATGTTGTAATTTTTAATGTTGTAATTTTTTCGTTGTGATATCTCCTGCAGCTTTTCTCTTGTATGCTGCTATTGTCATAGCAGCAGTTGTTGTGATTATCATCCGCGTTATACCCCACTATGGGCAGACTCATGTCATGGTCTATATTTCAGTTTGTTCGCTTATGGGCTCACTATCAGTATGTGTCACTTGTTATCCTTTTCTTGAACCTGACTTTTTATGAACTACGCTATATCTATCTATTTTTTTATTTGTTCATTGGTGCATACATATGTACAAGTATGACACTGTTGTTAAAGTTATCTTTCTTGCATCGTAACAGGTCATGAGTGTCAAAGCGCTTGGAATTGCTTTGAAGCTGACGTTCTCGGGAATGAATCAGTTAATATACCCCCAAACATGGGCCTTTACCATGGTTGTCCTTGCCTGTGTAATCACTCAAATCAATTACTTAAACAAGGTAATGCATTTCTTAGGAGCTTCTCCCATGTAATTTAAAAGAACAAACACCTCTTACCTTGAAATGCTGATTGTGGGAAAATTAATATAGAAACTCTCTCTGTTCTTTTTTATGAAAAAAAAAAAATTCTTCTTCATGAATGTGGTTTTTATTAAGGGGCTATTGGGTTGGTGCAATGACAATGGTCTTGGGCTCGTAACCATAAGGTTGCAAGTTTGAATCCTGAGATTAGCTGTTTTATGCAAAATTCTGAAGGAATACTTCATATTCTCCCACGTAGGACTTGCTTCAGTGGAAAGCTAACTGGGTAATGGCTTGTGGTTATAGAGTGGCTTTTGGTAGGTAATTTTTTTTGTTACTCTTTGAATTGCAGGCTCTTGATACATTCAACACAGCAGTGGTGTCTCCCATATACTATGTGATGTTTACTTCATTAACAATTTTGGCCAGTGTAATCATGTTTAAGGTAACCTTTTTCTTAACCAGCGGTACATATGTATATGTTGATATATAGACATGTAAGTATGTGTGTTTGCGATAGATGGAATTTAGGAGAACTAATCCTTGGATTTCATGTTAGCTTCACCTTAAGTGATGATGGCTATAGAAACTGAAGCATTTTTCAAATGATAATGAAACATTACTACAAATAGGTTGCATTGATGCTTTCAAAATACAAACAAAACGATTAATTTCCATCTATTTTGAGTTGATTTATGGTCAATGGCTGCCGCCTTATGTTATCCTCTCCAGCTAAGGAGTTTAAAAATTGCTGTTGTTACATCAGTTTTGAGTTTCTTTTTTTTTTTTTTGGAACTCTCCTCTCTCTGTTAGACAGTAAATAATAAACAATTTTTTATTTACAGAAAAGAGATGTAAAGGTGGAAAGAAAACTAGATGGTTATTTTCTGAAGATTTTAGTTCTTTTATGCAGTCCCAGTCCTTGTTAATGTTACTCTAGTAACTAAAAGTATTAAACTTTAATGGTTTGTATGGTATTTGCTGCACTGTATGCTGATGATATATATTTTCCTAAATTCAGGATTGGGATGGACAGAATGCATCTCAAATTGTTACAGAAATATGTGGATTTGTAACGATCCTTTCTGGGACTTTTCTTCTGCATAAAACGAAGGACATGGTTGAAGGTGGGTTTCCAGTACTTTTCCTCTATTGATTAATCACCTTCTCCAGTTTAATATTATAGCTCCACATAAACTGTCCTTCATTTATAGGTACATCACAATCTCTATCATTGCGCCTTCCTAAGCATGAAGAAGAAGATGATGTACTTGATCCTGAAGGACTCCCTCTTCGGCGTCTAGACTCTCTGCGACCAAAATAGTTGTATTCTTTGATTCATTTTTTTACTGTCATTCAAGATCTTGCTTGCTTTTGCGGGGCAGAAAGGGACTTTCAGCCACAGACCTGTATATTATCAGCACACTGGGCTGGATTATTATATTCTTTGAGAAAACAATGGGCAAAGATGGCAGGACTTCTTTCATGGATAGAAATGAGATGATCTCTTTCAGCTGCTGCCATGTATAGATATTTAACTTCCCCCTTCCTTCTTGCACACCTTGGGGGTTGTAATTTTGAGCACTTAGTTCTTCATATTGAATCTTACCTACAAGTTACGAGGGAATGAAGTTACCTCGGATATTTTGTATACGACTATGATATCAGAGAAGAGATTGGATGAGATATGCTGGAAAATTTTTGAGGTGAAAACATGATTTCTTTCGTTCATTTTATAGCTGCAAAGTACTGGTGTAACATTTCAAGGAGTCCTACCAATTTGAATTCTCAACCATTTTGAGTATTTTTGGCACTTTAACAAAGCGGATTCTTGATTAGTGGGTCTTCGTATTGTGTTTTCGTTCTTTTGCAATACCTCCTGATCCTTGCAATGACCGTTCTTTTACACTACTTCCTGTGTGAATGATGCTAGATGGTTACCTTCAAGTCGACTTAAAGTTTGTATAATAGTTCTATATTTTATCTCCACACAGAATTGAAGGTTTTTCATAGTATTCTACGATAGAGAGTGTTTGTATTAAAAAGTTCAATATTTCACTTAAAAGTTATTGCTCATGTTGCTTAAGATTAGCTCATGATTCGACTTTCATTTATTGTCGTACAACCACTGATGGAGTAGACTTGTTCATTTTAGACTTTTGAGACTGTTGGTTGATGTTTAGAATCTAGGAAGTGGTAAAACATACTCTTTGTTGTTTGTAGTGTTCAACTTTTGTGTAGCTCTTACTGTGCCAAGCGAACCATTTATATGGCAAAAGATAACGTTTGGCTTGCTTGTTTAAGGGAGCTGTGATGGATTTCAAATGCAAATTTACCAAACGTAGTATGTTGTCATGCCATCCCTTTCAGAGCTCTAGAGTCAGCACCACAAGCGTGGAAAACTCAGCTTTAAAGACGCCAATTCCTCCTAACAATCCGGCGGTAGATGAGATGTCCTAAACAAGTTTTGGCTGCTTCTATGTTCTGTTCCTTGGAAAACATTTGAGCACCCAATAATAACATTATTAGCATAAAATTAAGGACACTGACTGCTCTTTTGAAGTTAAATAAAATTCTGGAATTAAAAAAAAAAAAAAAAATCATCTCAGTAATAGCGTTTATTAGGGATGACCTACTTGATGAGGTTCCAACACAAATCCTATTTTTAGCAATCAATGCTTATCTCGGAAAGGCTTCTTGCCACCATAGTTAGGGTAGCAAAACTTTGATTTCTTCCCAAGGGGGATATCATTATGAATAGTTAGGAAAAATACTAAACATGTTTAGGGTAAGTTAACAACGCCGTCTTGTTGATCTTTTGGTAATACTAATTGTGTGTTAATTATAAATAGTGATTAGATACCCCTTTGATTTTTGAATAATGAGATAAAACTCGCATATAATGTATGCAATTATCCATCATAAATTTATCAGAAATAATTCCCCTAGTTAATTACCACCCAGTTTCTATGTTGTGCTATCATTAATATTACGTTTTAAATGGGTGGTCTACTTGAAGCCAAATCTACCGTGAAACCTTACGTTCAGTGGGACCCAAAAACCAAAAAGAAACGTTAACTTGTTGAAGCAGTTGAACTAATATGTCCAAAAAATCCCACCCATACCAAACTTCCAACCCCAATTCCCTCTCTAATACCATTCCCACCCCATTTGCCCTTAAGCTATGGCTACTACTGAAGACTTCACCTTCCCCATCTTCACAGACCCTTTCTCGTGCAGCATCGATTCTCCACCTCTATGGTGCTTATCTCCTGCACCCTCTCCTGATCCGTACCACGAAGACACATCGAAAGAAAGCAGCACAGAAGGAGAAGAGAGCGATCAAGAAGTCTATAAAGATTGTTTTCCAACCGAAGCCATCAAGTACTTAACTGAAAGAAAAAGCTTGTCAAGTGTAGAGGATCTTGGTGCAGCTGCATCTAAGTTGGTGAGACGAAATGATAAGGAGGAGAAGATGGACTTGCTATGGGAGGATTTCAATACTGATGAAAAACTGACAAGAAGTCATAGTAGTTCGAGATTGGATTCTGGAAAAGTTAACATGGGTTGTGTTGAAGCTTTGAGACTGTCCAAACCTAATGGTACTGCCATATTTCCTCCAAGGAAACCAGGCTTGGATGTGTTCGTGAAAGTGTTGAAGAGGCTTTTCTTGCTTCACAGTTCTCATAGGTCAGTCAAGCATCACAGTTCTTATAGGCCATCAGTTAAAGGTCACAGGTCACTTAAGTCTGTAAAAATTGGGTCATGGTGATTATGGGGCTCGTTATTTGGTTTATTCTTTTGATTTATATATACACAACTTGCCGATGGTGATGCAAACAAAATTGAGGAGGAATTCCCTCAGATAATACATAGTTGTAGCATGCCATGCCAAGTTAAGAAGGTTGTTTAATATTTTAATTGTCGTGTAAATCACGAAAATGTTAAGAGTGAAAACATCCTGCAAATTCGTGTGTTTTGTTGTGTTTGACATGACAACGACGATAATGACACAATTAATGTAATGAAAATATTGATAAATTGAACATAAGCAATAAAAAATAAAGGGTTTTTTGTTTTCCTATTCGAGCTTTATTTTTTTTGCCTATTCGTGCCTAGCTAACATTGTTTATATTGGGTGTATATTCTTATAAGAAAATTTAGCACAGCTCATTAAAAAAATTAAATAGAAAAATGATTAAATAAGAAAAGGAATTAGAATTATAAAGGAAAATTTTCTTTTCTTATTTTCTTTTTCCTATTTAATCGAGGCATGCATATATATATATATTGTAAATTATAATTTAGTTCTTGTTTTGAGAAATAAATTAATTAGTCTCTCTAATTTCAAACGCTAATTAGTTAATCTTTTTAACCATTGTTGATTACGATTAATTAATTTAATATTTTTTATTTTATAAATATCTTATTTTTTTCATCAATCTTTTCATATTTTTATTTTTATTTTATTCATTTTCTCTTTCATAAAAAAAATTGAAAGAAAAAAAAAGGGGTTTTCTTTGATTTCTATATATAAAAACACAAGATTTTTTGGTGCCCACAAAATATTGAGGTTCTCTCTAGAATTTATTTTTTAGGTATTACGATCACGGAAAATTATAGTGTTTAACATTGTGATCTCATACAATATTAAACTTTATAAAAATACAATTACGAATATTTTGCATATTCAAAGTTTTTTTGTGATAAGATGGATTTAATTAGAGCTATAACTTATATTATTGTTAATATTTTTTGCTTCTCAAGTTTACATAAAAACTTGAATGATTCTATTGGCTTATTGATCATAAAGGATTATTTCGGAGTTGGTTCCGTAGTTTTTTTCTCTTTATCTTTTCATGTAAATTTGATGTTCTTGCTATTGATTTATTTTGTACATTTCATTATTATGTGCGTTTAGTTTAATTATTTTCTCACAATATCTAATTTACATAGAGTGAGATTAAATTCCTAATAGTTTATTACCATGCAAAATAACTTTATCAAATAATTTGTTTCCTATTTTCAAACAATAGGATATTTGTCAATCAATTATAGTTCAATCGACGTTAATGAGAGTTCTTGAATTCAAACCTTTCTTTTGTAAAATAAAAAATTAAAAAAATAAAGGTATTATTTAGAAGTTCATTTGAGATACGACAATTACTTTTATATGCTTGATTTATCTATAAAAAGAAAATAACTAATTAATTACTAATTTATGTTATTATTTTTTTAATTTGACATGATTTTAAATTTGAATAACATGACACGATTCTATCCATTAATGATATTTTTATTTCATTATAACTATTAATCCCACATCAATTGTGAGAAAATCTAACTTTTTGACTACTTTTTCTATATAAATCTCTCTCCCTCTTATGCCACATGATCTCTAAAGTTTCATCGTAGACTCTGACCTTTCACGTAATTATCATATCACTTCACCTATGAATTGTTAATATTATTTGTTTTTTCTCTAATGTCTCTTACTATTCATGTATATATTCTACTTTATTGATGTGTCACTATTTTTATAAATTACAGCCCTAACTTGACGCTTGGGTCAATCTGCTCATTTGTCATTGATATGTTATTAAAAATCACCACATACTAGTTCGCCATTTTTCGGAATTGGCAATGCCAAAACAGCCAAATTTTGGGTCGACTTCCATATAGCTGAGTCCACGTCACAGATGCTCGACAATCCTGGATATTTCATCACGACAAAACTCTTTGCAACTAGAGATCAAGGTAGCTTGACTTGTACGAGTTAGAACATATATGCTGACTCCTCACATACGACCAGGCATAACCCTACCATAGAATAGTTTAAATGATTAGAATTCTTAAGTTAAATTTTTTTTTTGGATGAATCAGTCAATACTCTTAACAACTAGTAATTAAGCTCAATATCGTCGGTTTGTCGAATTATGCTACAACTTAGCTCTGTGGAATGAAACTAAAAATTAATGTTGTCTAAACTACTTCGAAGACATTATCAAAGACATGATTTTTAATTTATTTGGAATTGAATATTTAGAAGAGATATAATAATATGGAAATTCTGCTCAGAATTAAGGTACTTACAGTGGAATTAATGAAGGGGGAAGGGCACGTCAATTGAATTTGATTGCTTATTTATTGAGAGGCCTATTAAAATTAAATTTTCTCTACCGTTTCATTTCCATATTAATGGAATTTAAAGTTTTTTTTTTTTTTTTTTTTTTTTTTTTTTTTTTTTTTGAAATTCAAACAACGCATAAATACAGTATTCATTTTCAATTCCACGTATGTAATGTTAATAACTCGTTGGCATTTATGGTCCAGTTGCATAATATAACGGTAACATACTCCTAGCTGCAAAATCCCTCGCAAAACTATCAATATATAATATTAAAAAAAAAAAAAACCAGGAGAACTTTTCTTCTTTCCTTTCCTTTTTCTTTTCGTGTTTTTCAATTTTTGTATATTATTGAAGCTAAATTTATCTTTTTCTATCCGATCAAAAACTGGTCATGCTAAAGGATACATAAAAATATACATGGGGCAAGAGAAAAAAAAAGACTTAGAAAACCCACAATCCCCGTGAATACATTGAAGCTGGCTGAAGTTAGAAAAAAATAAGAGGAAGACAAAAAGAAGAATACATAGATTAGGGCAGCACAACAACATAATTAACTTAGAAACGAAGAATATATTTTTGTGTGTTTGTTTTCGATCGTGCCATGTCATACCGCATATATATATATATATATATCACGTTGTCGACTCTCTAATGGTGTGGTGCAATCAAATCTTACAACTTTGGTATGTCTAATGGTAAAATCTGAAACCTAACTCTTTTGGTAACTAATAAGTTGTTGGTAGCACCCCAAAAGTAAAGCTTAAAATGGAAAAAAGAGACAATTAATACTCACATTGCAACCTCAACTAATTACTCAGACATGCAACAGCTTAACTAACTGTCGACATACTGCATGTTTGGTCTTGCACTTTTGTAGTGAGTAGCTTCCATCAATGAAAGTAAGTAAGGTTGAAGTTGTTACAATAACTATTAAGTTATGTGACACGAAAATATTCATAATGTATTGGAAAAAATGTATAGATATGTTAGGCTTTTATAATTCTAATTATTTATATTATAAATATAAATAATATCTCTTGTATTTATAGTATTGTCAATTGAAAAAATTTAATAAAAACTTTGAATGCAGTTATAAAATAGATATATTTACCGAACTCGTATAAAATTTTTTTATTATGTGATTATTTTTTGTTTTTTATATTTTATTTTCTCACTTGATTCGTTTCCTAATAAAAACTACATAAGAATTTTCTTCTATTATATAGTCTAGCGAACGTTAAGAATCCTTATAAATAGGAAAAAAAATAAAAATAAACAACTAGATTTTAATAACTAAAATCACATAAACATGGATTATTTATTAAGATTTTTTTGAATATATGAAACTGATGTAAGAAGTATAACTTTAAAATAGTTTTAAAAAAATAATTTTAATTAACGTATAAACTAATCTAAAAATATCCCATGTGTGTGATTTTTTTTAGACAAAAGAAGTTAGTCTCAGAGCAGTCCAACAATGGTTAAAATCACCTACTCATTTGCTCATTTTTTTTAAGCTGACCATAATACCCATGGAAAGGATAATGCTATTTTTATATCATCTTTTTTGTTACTGCAATCGCCCTGGTAAGAAAACCCTCCAGTCAATGGGTGTCACCATCACCATCGCCGCCAAAACAAGCCAGCCACCTTCAATGATCACTACCATCTCGATCCACTGCCCTTTTCTTAGCCCACAAACCCAATTCACCATCTCATCTGTCTCTGTCTCATTATAATTCAAGACAAATTAATTGAAACACCAAACTAATATAAGCAGCATGATGGAGATCTATATAGGCAACGGATTTGATTGTGAAGGAATGGAAGGCAGTGGTTGTGGTAGCAGTGGCATTGGCAACAATGCGGAGAATTTGTGAAGACAACTGTTATTTGTTTTTTTAAAAGCCACCATGAAATGAGTTTTTAGCTATTAAATTTCTTAATATTAATTTTTGCTATTTGTAAATGATCAGAAATTTTATAATATTTAACGAGTAATTAATTGATCCACTTAGAAAAAAGAGAGACAAATAAAATTATATCCGAATTTATCAAAAATGATTTCAAAATTTTTACATTCATTCAATTTTTTTTAAAAAAATTTTTTTGTTATATATTTATTTTTTAAAAAATAAATTCATGAAATAATTATTATATATATCACTAATTATTTTTTGAATATAATAAAATTTCTCTTAACGGTGACGTAGGAAAATGGCGGTTTCTTCATTTTTTTCAGTGCGAAACTGAGAAACTGAAAAGACGATGAAAATAGAAAGCTTTGGTCTTCTCCAATGGCAGTATGGAGATTGTAACCTTTTCTCAAGGATACATTGGTCAGTTAAAAGAAAAAGGTGCTGGTGGGACTGTAGTTAAACATCAAGGGAGTGCGAATATGAACTTCCTTAGTCTCGTGGGCTTGGCCCATTTTGGAAAAAAAGGCTTCAAATAATTTTTTTTCAAAACAAGCCTTTTATTCAAAGCAGCGAATCATTTAAATAAATAAATCCACTGAAATTGTGATACGTAGATTCTTAGATATCATCTTTTTTCTTTTCTTTTCTTTTTTTATAATTAGAAATGCAATAATTTTGTTTAGTTGAAATTAATTAATTTTTTTATAAAATATCTTTATTGTG